TTTCCTGGTGGTCTTGGAGGAGGTGTAGACAGATTTTCAATCCCTGTCAGCTGAGCTCTGAGAAGGGTCAAGGGTGCTTTTGTTTTTAAAAATTATTATTGTTTTTTTTTTTTTATTGAGGAAAACATATTGGAAAACTGACAAAATCCTCCAAAGAATATAACCCCTAGGCAGCCCAGATTCCTAGTTTCTCAGGAAACAGAGGGGGAGCTGCCTCCTTGGCTGGTTCACTTTCTCTCCCACAACCCTTCCTGGAGAAACCCTGTCTAAATGTCCCCAGGTTTTGGTCATCGGCCTGGAAATCCCCCTATTGGCAATCCCTGGCCTGCAATTTGGGCTCCTCAGCAGTGATTTGCAGGTCAGAATCACCAGAGGCAAAGGTGACAATTCCTGGGCCCACGCTTGACAGAGAGCGTCTCACTCAGCAGTTCTGTGAGGCTGGGGTCTTTAACCGTGTCCAGGGATTGAGATGACTTGCAGGGCACTTGTAGCCATTTGGTGGCCTGGCCACCAGAGGGTGCCGCGGGCCGGTCTAAGCGGTCCCTCTGTGAGGCCTTGTTCCACCAGACAGGTTGCTGTCATGAAGGACTTGCCGGTCAGACTACGGGAGAGGGGTAGGCGTATCCCAGTGGACAGGAGCTTCTGCAGGGGAGGGAAGCTTGATGACAGGAAAGAGGATCAAAGCCCACACTGGGCACCTGGCTGGGCCTTTGTCCTTGCACACCTGGATTCCAGAACTGAAAGGCCAGGGCCCTGCCTGAAATCTGGGTCAACCTGTCTGGCTCTGGGACAAGCTATTTACCCAACCCTGAACTCAGAGAGCGACTATCGTTTGGGTGGGAAAACGGAGACCCAGATAGGGGCAAGGGCTCAGTGATAGCCGCTCTGTCTTCCAGCCCAGGGCTCTGTCCTAACAGGGCTGGGGGCAGGGCGTGGACCCCAGGAAGTCCAGCTGTGAGTCAGCTGTGGAAGCCCAGGGGACGGGACAGGGGCTGCTGGCTGGGGATGGATGCTGGCCGGCGGTCCCCTGCTTCCACAGCTGTGGGTAGCCCTGGTGATTCAGCTTCCCTCTGCCGCCCACAGGGGACGCCGCCCTGGGCTAGGAGGTGGCTGGGGATGCTGGGGCAAGGGAGGGGCGCTGGAGGGGCCTTAAAGGGCCCCATGGTCCTCCTTTGCTGGATGCCAGGTCCTATGAGATCACTGTGGCCAGAGACCAGGTGGGCCTGAGACCGGTTCTGGGATGGGGGGCTGTGGGCCCCTTCTCAATGCCCAGCTCCTTCAAGCTAGCTTGGGCGGCCATGCGGGATACCCCAGTGTCTCCAGCACTGTGTGCTGGTCCCCATGGGGGGCTCTCCTTGGCGATGGGCAGGGAGGGGCCTGATCTCCTCGGTGGCGGGGACAGACAGGCTGACCACTGCCGCTGAGGGGGCTCTAATGGGCAGACGGGTAGGCCGAGGGCGGAGCTAATGGGAGAATGCCAGGCTGATGGGGACGGGCAGTGAGCGGCGGCATGGGGGCGGGGCGAGACAGCCCACCCGGCTCGGGGCGGGGCCTGGCCGGGACGGTGCTGGGGGCTCGGCCCAACTTTCCGGGTGGGGCGCGGGCGGTGGCGGCGGAGGCGGGGCCGCGCCCGCCGGGCCGGGCCTGGGCTGGAGTCTGGTGGGATTCCCTGCCGGAGCCGCAGCCGCAGCTAGAGCCGCAGCCGGAGCCTCCGGGAGCCGGAGCTGAAGCACCGGCCCTGCTGGAGCCGAGCCGAGCCGAGCTCGCCGCCTGGCACGGGCTGGAGCGCGAGCCGGAGTGTCACCCTCACTGCCTGGGCACTGGCGGAAGCAGCGAGCCGCAACCCCTCGGGCTCCCCCGGGCGCGGAGCCCTGACCGCCCCTGCTAGGCCTGGTCACGGCCTGAGCACGCAGGAGTTCCCAGGGTCTGGATCCCCACCCTAACGGCCTGGGGACCGAAGAGGAAAAAGGAACGAGGATTCCATCTAACAGCATAGCGTGGGCACTAGGCGCTGAGGAGAGAGGAGACTTCACCTGGCACGGGGCAGAGGTTCCCGGAGCTTATTAGGCCCGACTTGAGCATCGGAGAGCCTGGCATCCCAGCAGCCACGACCTTGGCTCTGCCCTGTCTGAGCCGACAACACAATCATCTCAGCTCCCAGACCTCGGCTGGCGCAAGTAAGCGGTGCTCTCACCTGTGTGAGACTGGGGACAGGATCTCAGGAACCAGGATCTGGCAGGGCTCAGAGCTGGCCACTGGGCAGCCAGCCTTCTGCCCCAATCCCACTGGTGCGGATGTGTCACTGCCCGCCGGAGCACCATGATGGCAGGATGACCTCAGTTGAAGCAGCGGCAGCAGCTGGTGGTGCTCGGGTGACTAGGCCCCCTGAGTGGCCTCCTGGCAGCCCCCAGACCCTTGGGCAGCCTGGCCGAGCCCGGGTGGCCGTGGCAGCACTGGTGTGGCTGCTGGCAGGAGCCAGCATGTCAAGCCTCAACAAGTGGATCTTCACTGTGCACAGTTTTGGGAGGCCCCTGCTGCTGTCAGCACTGCACATGCTGGCGGCAGCGCTGGCATGCCACTGGGGAGCACAGCGACCCATGCCAGGTGGCACCCGCCGCCGAGTGCTGCTACTCAGCCTCACCTTTGGTACCTCAATGGCCTGTGGCAACGTGGGCCTGAGTGCTGTGCCCCTGGACCTAGCACAGCTTGTCACCACCACTACACCACTGTTCACGCTGGCCCTGTCGGCGCTGCTGCTCGGCCGACGCCACCACCCGCTACAGATGGCTGCCATGGGCCCCCTCTGCCTGGGGGCTGCCTGCAGCCTGGCCGGAGAGTTCCGGGCACCTCCCACCGGCTGTGGCTTCTTGCTGGTGGCCACCTGCCTCCGAGGCCTCAAGTCCGTTCAACAGAGTGAGTGCCTGGGTCACTGGCTGAAGAGGTGGGGGTCGGGGCAGGTGTGTGGCCTTGATGGCCCTGTGAGGGGTATGGCTCTTATCCCATTTTGCAGATGAGGAAACTGCCACCTGGATTTGGAGGAGGCAGAAACTGAGGCTCAGTGAGGGCCAACAGCTCAGTGAGTTCTGGGCCCAAACTGAGGCTCTGGAGGCCCAATCAGTATTTGATAGCAGTTGTCAGTGATCTGTGTCCCTTGCTTTGTCAAGCCCTTTGTCCCTCAGATCCCCCTACTGCCCCTGATCAAGGTAGGGACTATAGTGTCCCTGTTCGATAGAGAGATGCAGGGGCCTGCCCTGAGCCATGTGGCCAGAGAGCAGCAGAGGCAAGATTTGAACCAGCAGTCAGACTCCCTGCTGTCCACGTGATGTGGAGAGCAAAAGAGGGAGAGCCAGGCCTTGGGCTGAGATTTGGAAGGCAAGGGCTTCGGCTCAGTCTGGGAAAAGCTGATGTTTACTGGGAGCTACAGTGTGCTGAGTGTTTGGTGTTTTTTTGGGGGACAGAGTCTCACTCTGTTGCCC